ATGCTGGGGGTGAGGTCTCATTCAGAGCAGGAAGAGACAGACTCAACCACAGAACCAAGCCCAACCTATTCTTTCTAGTCTTATACAAAAATGTTAGATAATGGCATTGTGTTAGGTGGACAGGATCCAAGCTTATAGTAAGACAACACCTTTGTTAAGATGAATAGAATATCACATTTCAAGCAAGCCTCTTTCTCCCAAATTCCTTCACAAGCAAATTAGCTGAATAATTCTGGAGAACCTGAAAGCTTTCATGACGTGACAATATGGTTGGAAGATCCTAATGCGGACCCTATACTACCATACCATCATGCAAATAACTTGATTATTTACCTTATTTATTTACAGTGCAGGAATAACTTGCATTGTACCTGGAGTAGGAATTGGCAAGCCACTCCAGTATCTTTTCCAAGAAAACCCCATGGACAGAAGCAAAAGGCTAAAAGATATGACACTGGAAGATGAGCCCCTCAGGTCAGAAGGCATCCAACATGCTACTGAGGAAGAGCGGAGGACAAGTACAAGTAGCTCCACAGCTAATGAAGTGGTTGGGCCAAAGCCAAAAGGATGCTCAGCTGCAGATGTGCCTGGAAGTGAAAGGAAAGTCCGATGCTGCAAAGAAAAATACAGCATAGGAACCAGGAATGTAAGATCTATGAACCTTGGTAACCTGGATGTGGTCAAACAGGAGAGAGCAAGAATAAACATTGACATCCTAGTGACCCCTCATAGTCAACAAAAGAGTGGGAAAAGCTGTATTGGGATACAATTTCAAAAATGATAGAATGATTTCAATACGAATCCAAGGCAGACGTTTCAACATCACAGTAATCCAAGTCTATGCACAAACCACCAATGCTGAAGAGGCTGAAAATGACCAGTTCTATGAAGACTTACAACACCTCTAGAATTGACACCAAAGAAAGATGTTCTTCCCATTATAGGGGACTGGAATGTTAGTAGGGAGTCAAGAGATAAAAGGAACAACAGGTAAGTTTGGCCTTGGAGTTCAAAATGAAGCAGGGCAAAGGCTAATAGAGTTTTGTCAAGAGAACAAGCTGGTCATCACAAACACTCTTTTCCAACAACACAAGAGGTGACTCTACACAAGGACGTCACCAGATGGGCAATACCGTATCGAAATCATATTGATTATATTCTCTGCAGCCAAAGATGGAGAAGCTCTATACAGTCAGCAAAAACAAGACCTGGAGCTGACTGCGGCTCTGATCATCAGCTTCTCATAGCAAAATTCAAGCTTAAACTGAAGAAAGTAGGAAAAACCACTGGGCTAGTCAGGTA